GGCCCCCCCCTCCCACTGCCCCCCCCCTAGGCGACCACCTTCACCTCCGGTTTCTTAGGGACCCTCCCCGCGTCCCAGGTGAGGTGGCTGCACACCCAGGGCCCAGTTCCCACCTCTCAGCATCACCCGGGCCTCCCGCCCCCTCCCGGTTCCATTCTGTCAGTCAGAGTTGACTCGGTGCTGACACCTATGGGCAGTTACTGGTAGCGCAACGAAACGGGAACCGCGTTGCGAACCGGTATCATCATGATTCATAAAACGAGTTACTGCGGCTGCATCCACATTTCCCGGTCTTTTCTCTGGGGCACATCCTGCTGTCATTTTAAAAAATATATATTTTATCAACTTCAGAGAGGAAGGCAGAGGGAGGGAGAGATAGAAACATCCATGATGAGACAGAATCATGGACCGGCTGCCTCCCGCACGCCCCACACTGGGATCGTGCCCCCAGCCCCAGGCATGTGCCCTTGACCAGAATCAAACCCAGGGCCCTTCAGTCCGCAGGCCGACGCTCTATCCGCTGAACCACACCGGCCAGGGCCCTGCAGTCCTTTGAGAAAAGATGGGGGTGCGGGGGATCGGGGAGGTGCCTGTCAGCAATCTCTTATTCTCCCATCAGCAGTTCCGTTGGCTCCAGGGCCCGGTTTGGGAAGGGCCTTGCCTGGGGTGGGTCAGATGCCCCTGGACACGGGAATTGGGGGCTTTCTTGCCTGGGACGGGAAGGCCTCGCGGGAGCCCAGTGGGGAAGGAGGGTGCGGCTCCACCGACAGCACCCACACCCCCATCTGGAGTCTGGGGTCTCTGCCCCTAACCGAGCCCCGCATCTCCCAGGCCAGACCCCCGCTGGACCCACACATCCGGGCTCCCGCCGGGTGGGGAAGGGGCGGACACCTGGCAGCTCACGGCTGGGGGTGTTTCTGAAACTTCCTCCCTCCAAGCTCCAAAGGAACCGGCTCCCCCACTTCCCGAGACTTTTAGGGGCTTGGGAGGGCGGACAGGAGGAGCTGATAGCGCAGCTGGAGGAGTACGAGCAGGTGATCCAGGAGTTCCAGCTGGAGCTCGGGGTCGCCAGGACCAGATACAACCTGGCCACAGGTGGGCGTGCGGGCGCCAGGCCGGCC